CAAGTTTACGGACTCTTTAGCCTTCGGGTTCGTGCACCTTTCCGTTTCTTCAAGTCAAGTGGGACTTCATTCTGATCCTAGCTCTTGCGAGCAACCATCCAAGTGTGTTTCGCCGCAGAGTCCCACTAAGGGCTGTGGTGTGATCCCCATCGAGGGGCGCTGCGTGTGCATAGACCCAGATTCTGGGGGACCCACCCTGATTGCTTCGTCTCTGCACTGGGACTTCGTTCTGAAACCCCCTTGATTGACTGCTTTGCGCCATACCACTGATACTTTGCCGCAGGGCTTACTGTGATCAAACTTACATGTCCACGTCACGCTGCCAAGTATTCACAGGCCGGAAGAGAGCGAGAAACGAGAGTGGTTTTTTTTTTTGGCCCGTTTGATTTTTTCTTTCCTGCTGTTGCTGTTCTTTTTCTGGAGGCCTTTCTTTAGTTTTCTTTAGGCTTCAGTCAAAGATGTGCCAAACGCGGTTTTACTTGATGCTGCTAAGTATTCACAGGCCGGAGGAGAGCGAGAAACGTGAATGACTTTTTTCAGCTGCATGCGCTTGTCATGTTCTTGAGTTCCTTCTCTCTTGCTGTTGCTTTTCCTTTCTTGAGGCCTTTCTTTAGGTTCCAGGTGCTTTTCAGAAACGAGTCCGCCGGCCTCATAATCGGCTGGAATGTCATGATGACATTGCCTTCGGGCCACCCTAACCCACCCTCCCCCCTACCTCCCTGCCCCTGGCCTCCGTTGCTACCCCGCCCGCTATCTAGGGTTATAGGAGGAAATCGCACTCAACACACTTGTGTGTTGGTGCCTTTCCTTCTATTTCTCCTGTCCTACTTCCAGCTACCCGGGCGGCTTAAGACTAAAGTCCCGCTCGCTAACTTCTGCGCGTATTGTAACTAACAGACCTCGTCACTAGTGGGCCTCGTAACTACACCTATCTTTTTCTCCTGCCCTCTTCGGCTTCTCTTTCTGTCTTTTCTTTTCTTGCTAAGGCTTGTTAGGTGACTACTAAATTTTCTGAGCGCCGAAATCGGCCTGGTGTGCGCGTAAGTCCACACCTGTTGTAAAGAAGTGTTTAAACACGCGGGGCGGCTAAGTAATCAGTAACTACCTTGCAGGTTTCATAACTAAAGGGGGTTCGTAACTGCGCCTGTCTTTCTCTCCTGCCCTTTTCGGTTTTATTTCTGTCTTGCTTTTCCTTTTGTTAGGTGACTACTAAACTTCCTGAGCGCCGATAGCGGCCTGGTGTGTGTGTCCACACCTGTTCCAAAGGAATTTCAACAAGGCAGGGGGCAGCGACAGAGTTTGTGGAATCACTGCCAACGAAGACGTCCACATTCTCTGGTGATGCATCGGCTGCAGCGATTTAATCAGTTGAACTGTTGCACAAGCTGTCCAGTCCTGTGTTTCGCAGTAAATGGCTAATGCACAAAAACAGCTTGTTAAACACCTTCAAGTTTACGGACTTTTTAGCCTTCGGGTTCGTGCGCCTTTCCGTTTCTTCAAGTCAAGTGGGACTTCATTCTGATCCTAGCTCTTGCGAGCAACCATCCAAGTGTGTTTCGCCGCAGAGTCCCACTAAGGGCTGTGGTGTGATCCCCATCGAGGGGCGCTGCGTGTGCATAGACCCAGATTCTGGGGGACCCAGGCTCTTTTTTTAACCTCGGCCGGCGTGTGGCACCGCTATCCGGCAGTACACAAATCTATAAGTGTGTGTCCACACCTGTTCCAAAGGAATTTCAACAAGGCAGGGGGCAGTGACAGAGTTTGTGGAATCACTGCCAACCAAGACGTCCACATTCTGTGGTGATGCATTCGGGAGACGTCCTGGTGTGCACCTGCAGTGATTTAATCAGTTGAACTGTTGCACAAGCTGTCCAGTCCTGTGTTTTGCAGTAAATGGCTAATGCGCAAAAGCAGCTTGTTAAACACCTTCAAGTTTACGGACTCTTTAGCCTTCGGGTTCGTGCACCTTTCCGTTTCTTCAAGTCAAGTGGGACTTCATTCTGATCCTAGCTCTTGCGAGCAACCATCCAAGTGTGTGTGCGCCTTCTCTTGTTGTCAAGTAGCCCAAAAGTAAATGTACACATGTAGAATACACGCATGTAGGCAGGACGGAAGCTCCTCCACTAAGGTGCTTGACAGCCTCACTGTGTTCTCGTCGAAGGACTCTTGGAGCAGTGCAAGTACACCCGTGTTAGGATGACCCTACACTCCTACCAACGTTTCAAAAATTCGTGTGACTGCAAACAAATACATGCTGACAGAGAGTATTGAAGCCCCTCCTTTTTTTCAGGACCTAAGCCTTGTCTTCTGGGCAGCTTCCAGAAGCCTGGCTGCTCTTTTTTGGCCTGGAAGTTTCTTTTGGAATCTTTTGGAAGTGCTCCTTCACTTCTTCAGTTTCTCAGTTTCGTTCTGGAACTCTAGTGCTTTCACTCATTGACCTCTCTGGAGCATCTTAAAGTGTGGACGAGCTCTTCTGGGTTCAGTGAGCCACTTGGAAAGTCATGGTAGCTGAGGAAACCACTTCATTTCGGAGACATGTTCTGCACAGCTGACGAAAGAGGTGCTTTTGTGTCAAGCTAAAGGTTTTTGCTAGCTGATGAGATGCTTTGCAATGAGGATGGACTAAGATGGACTAAGACCTTAGGTACTATTGTTTGTGTAGTGACCTGTTTTTTTGGAGGAACTATATACTGCAGTATATACTTCTATATATATAAACGTCCAGTAGTCCGAGGCGTTCACCTGCAATCTGATGAATCATGCATTGACGTGCACTTGGTCTTTTATCATCGTGCAGGTCATGCGGAGAGATCTTTCAAACTTCTCGGCACAGGACCTTGCACTCTTGACGTATTGTCCAAGCTTTCGTTCTGCGGCGGTGCAACTGCGACTAATGGCAATATTGTGTTGGAGACATATTACGAAAGCCAGCCGATAGGCAAGGCTTGAGCTTTTAGGGCGAACGAAGTGAGGTAAGGGGGTGTGGGGGTGGGATGGTCGCTGAGCAGAACCTTTTGATAGGGTGAACCCAGAGCTTGGCGGGGGAGAGCGCAAAGCGAGGGTCCGAAAAGCAGTGAAAATGAGGTCTGGTGATGCGAGTGATGTCATGGACGCTGAGTCGTGCATCATTAGCACCATGAAGGGCTTTTGGAAACTAGAGGACTCGAGTGGAGACAGGGCCCACGTACAGGGACCCACGTAATGAAGCGGCAGCTGGCTTTCGCCCCCCCCTTCTCAGGCTTGGCATATTTGTTCTGGCTGTTTTTTGGAAGTGTCCGAGTATCCTGACACGAAGTTGCAGTAATCATTGGAAGAAGGAAAGGTGTCATTGTAATTGAGTCAAGTCTTGATGAAGCGCCCTTTGTGCATTTGGGTGGTGGGCCCACCCTTCTGGGTTGGCACTTCTTCTGGCCACGCAGTGACTTCACTCGTAGGCTGGTGACTGCCGAGACGTGTTTTGGACCAGTATACGGCATGTCGGTAAAACAACAGGCTTGTGAGGCATGCAGCTCTTTGCATGCGAAACTTGCCTGAACGAGAAGAATTGAACTATGCTAAAAGAACGTGGAATCCTGTTGCCCGGTTTTTGGAGCAAAATACCGACGGAGAAGTGTACTTTTTTCGCCTGGAGTGATGTCGGACATGACGGTTTTGATCTGACGGTAAGATCTCATATCGAAGCTGGTGTGCCATTGGGGCAAGCCATCAAAGCAGTGCAAATAAGAAGAGATGAACAACATACTTCTCCATCTTGTTGATCCTAGATCTGAATCTGCACGGCGCAGTAGATTTGATGCCTGCAGTGTGGTTTCGCTCTAATCCCGAACTGATCTCTCTTTCTATCTCTACAGCCTCCAACCCTGGTTTTTTGATGTTTTTTGAAAGGATGAGGTTGTGTGTTGTGACCTCCCCCAACTATGTACTCCCAAACGCATATAACACCGTTGTGACTTCATGTTTTTGGCTTCACTCCATTGCGATTTGTGATTAGGGTTTTTGAGAAGTCGTTGCTTGTGTCTAGGAGTGGAGGCGTTTGTTGTTTGGGAATTTATGTGTCCGGCTTGCTGCTGTTGGTTTGCTGCTGGTTGGTTGCTGCTGATCTGCTGCTGTGGGTTGGCTGCTGCTGGTTGGCTGCTGCAGCTTGGCTGCTTCTGCTTGTGTGCTGCTGGTTGGCTGCTAGCTGGTTTGCGGCTGTTTTGCTGCTGTTGGTTCGTTGGTGGTGGTGGTTGTTGGTTGCTGCTGCTGCTGCTGCTGCTGCCTTTGTCACAGCAAATATGTGTAAGCAAACACCTCTTCAATTTGCATGGCCCCCCCAAGCAAGAAACGATAAATTTGCAGAGTTCATGTTTTAAAGCATTCATGTTCACATGCTCGCAGGTGTGCCAAGCGGAAGTATGTTTTTTGCAGTCTTGCAAAGATAAGAAAGCAACACGCCAGGGAAGGCAACACGCAAGCAAACCATACTTTTTGTTGTGGACTCGGCACACTTCCGGCAAAGATTTGAAGCAGGTGTGCCAGAGGGATGATAATGTGGGATTTGCTCCTGTGATGTGGGATTCGTGAAAACGGTGTGCCGTGGGGATGATGCGGTTTCTACTAGGTAGCCTCTCATGTGGGTAAGCTCTCCCGCCCGTCCCCATGAACACTTGTCTCTGCTTTGCACCAGGATCTTTGCATGATGGCCCAGTGCTTGGCCAAGATGGGAGGTCGTGGAAAGGCCGATTTTCGGTGCTCTGGTCGCGCGCGATATGTTTTTACCAAAGACCCATTCAGACTGATCTAGATGATATATTTGAAGCCGGAGTGGGGTTGATACGTTGTTTGAAAGAAAACTAAGAATCATATCATTTTCATCGGATGTCGTTTGGAACGTAGAGACCACGATTTTTTCTGGCCACTTTACTTTCTGCAGCCATCAAGGCATCAAGTGTCCAATATAATAAAGCCTACGTTCATAACCTTCTGCCAAAGACCCTTCTCGTGGCTGATTCTGGAGCACCATGGCGACGGGATTTATGTGCTTTCCTCAGACATGATTGATATTGACACGATTGCTTGAAACTGTGTTGGTATGAGCCTGGCTTTCCCAATTCCCCCAGACCCAACCTTTGCACAGTTTTACCTCGAGCAAAGACGCTACTAGGAGCTCCTGGCATCGCTACTAGGAGCAAAGACGCTACTAGGGGCTCCTGGCCGTACTACTAGGAGCATTCTTGCTACTAATAGCCAGAACGTTTACGAGATTTCCAGACCTGGTTCAAGTCTGATTCAAGTCTTGTGCGGCGAAGCCTACCTGTGAGGCCTTTGTTCTTCCTGACGTTTGCTGTTACCTCCAATGCCCACAACTTCTTGAACTCCAATGAAGTGACGGAAAATGAGGCAAGGGATATGGCCGGACAGTGGTCAACCTCACGGACAGATTTTCTTCCTTGGAGGTGCAGCAGAGCTTGATGGACAACCTGCAGAGCAACGTTGAGCAGGGGCAGAAGTGGGCTGAAATTCACCAGGCTTGGTCTTGGTGTTTTCTTTTGCTTTAACTGCGAGACACATTGCAATTTGGACATCACATAAACGACTTTGCGAGCCCATTTTTGACATTTGGCCAAGCGTGCCATTCTCAACAACTCAGTAGGCGCTTTTGCCCACGTACAACGCTCTGCCGAAGAATTCGACCCGGCCTTGAATCTCTTGCGTCAGCTCTTCTGACCACTGCAATTATCATGAAAGTGACAGCTAAGTCAACTGCATGCCTTAGGCAGGGCTTGATTGACCACCAAGCGGTGCGTTACGTGCTTCACCGCATGTTCGTTCAGAAGTATGGCTTCTAAGCTGCATCGGAGCAGTGTCAGCTTTCTTATCGAAGTTGACCATCTTGTTGTCTCCTGTGGACCACGACCAAGTACCACTTCAAGTATGAATCCACCTGCCTCTATTTGTTAGGGTCTCTGAGAACTATGTTCTAAAGTTCCCAGCTAAGTGACTCTAGATCGTCAATCTAAGGTTGGTATATCAAAGGATTGGAGCCCAGCGGAGATCATTGGCATGAAGAGTCTACAGACAAGCCTGAGCTTGCCAAAGTCAAGGACTAGTCGTCAGAACTGGTGCTAGGCGTGTCACGAGCTTGATTGAACATGCTTGAAGAGGAGTTTGTGCTTTGTGTCAGGAGTGGGTACCCAGCTACTTGCAAGATTTGCTGGAAAAGCGGCTCCATCACAAGGTGCGACTGGTGCGGCTCTCCTGACTTTGGTCTGACTTAGCTTATTTCACTGTCTGCTCCAGACCAGACACTGCTCCGCACCACGTCTCTTGCAGGGGCTTGACCTCAACAGCCTGGTCCAGCTGGCCCTTGCCCTTGAGGCTCGGGCCGTGGCCATCCGTGGCTTTTGAGTGATCCAAAACCAAACCACCTGGATTGAGTACCCGGCTTGACATCTCTAAACAGAAAGTCCTTTTGCACAGTCCAGCTTGGATTTGTCACAATAATTCCTTTTGGAAGGTCTAGAGCCACTGTTTTCCCTGGCGTGACATTGCAGGAATTGAGCTGTTGATACTTTGACGTTCATTTCAACTGTCCAACAGAGGATCGGTTATGTAAGATGGTATTCCTTTGATGTCCGTGTACCACGTCGTCAAAGATTCCAGAGTGGGATAGATAAGCCAACTGTAAGTCAAAGCTACTTCATGAACACACAATGGGGCTCCAGCAACCTCAACATATGAACAATGACAACGGCTTGCAACCAACCTCGACAACAGCCATTGAACACTTCGAAGGGCAGATGCTGTACTGTAGATGATATAGATACTACTACAACCAGGCTTCGCGCTCGAGGGTTTGAAATTCCGTAATATCGTAGACGTACTGGGTGTCCGAGGGTGGGTAATTCTGGTGTGCACATTTGACTAGACCGTGCACCAATCTCTTCGTTCACCCGTATGTTCACATGAGATGACCCTTTGATAGGAGTTGAGATGTTGCATTGACCTGCAGCAGCAGCTATCTATGAAAACCTGCTCTAGGGTGGAGGGAGGGTCCGTTCTACGTCGGTGATGTTTGGTCTAAACAAAACAATTAAATAATGTCCATATAGTAACCTAGGGTGGTATGATTGAGCAAGTTTCATTGGATCGCTGGCCCTCCAAAACGCTACAAACAAACAAGGGAAAATGCATAGGTTAACTTGCATAAAGAAGATTTGCCAAGTCCTACAAACTTTCTTGTTGCTTTACATGGACAGCATGACACAGTTCCTTGCAATATGAAGAGCTTCTGCTGTTGGAAATGAACACAATAGGAGGTTTTGCTGCGAGTCGTCCTGCAGAGGAGCTTGTGAACCACGAGTCAAAGAACCGATTGACCACAGCCTACGAAATTCATGATTTCCCAACGCTTCTTGCTTGCATACATCAGTTGGCTTTGTGAGGCAATCATTCCTAGTTTTGGAACTTTGAGATCACTTTCCAAATCAGCGAAACACACTGTTGTGTCAACAACTGTTTTGCTTGCAGCTTCGGGTCTCAACCCCCAGTGTTTCTGTGCTTTCAGGGATGGGGGATTGACCAGAGATGAAGCAGATGACCTTGTGCGCACCTGGTACGTGAGCTTCCTGTTGGCCGGGAACTTCTCAGCCAGCTCTCCGGAAGAGGTGCATGCAAAGAAGGCCGTTTTTGCCAGGAGCCAGGGATGAGCGGTTCAGAAGCTGACGAATGCTCCCGAAATTGAAATGGGACAGTACATTATTGGTTGTTCTTGGTGTTCAATCTCTGGATAGCAGCAAGAAAGGGGTCGTAGCCTTTGCCTCGAAGTCTGGGCACACTAGGTTAGGTTGTGGCTTTTGATATGAAATATTGAATCCATCGAAAGTTGGCAACTTTGTTTGCCTGAATTGACCCGCAGGAAGTATTCCGACGCTCCCTCAGATTCTCCAGCTGTCAAGTGACACTATCAGGCCGTGAAGTTATACAAGGATCTATAAGACAATACATGCCAAAACAAGTGAACCATAACACAACGAAACATGGAAGAAGCAGGTTGAGTCGTGCGACAAGTGTCTCTTGCAACCAATTGTTGTTTGTTACCAAGGACTGGCAGGATGCGGAGAACTGGCTGGGAGAGCTGGAAAAGGAGCACTACGAAGGCTTTGAAGTGGACCTGGTTGTTGTTTGTGTCGACGGGTTGCTCAGATTCCTGCAGGCAACCAAGATTTTGGCAAACCATCAGTTGGTGGTTGAGAGGTGGAGTTTACCATTGACATTCACTTGTTTTCCGAGAGGTGAACCTGCACAAACCTTCGACTCCAACTTCCGTCTTGTGCAGAAGATTGGAGAGAGGCGCCTGAGCCAGTCAGTCAGTTAAAGCTAAAGCATTCACCATTGCGGGTGTCCGGGTCTCATTATGTGATCTGGGATTGAAACGGATGGACATCGAAATAGCTCAACGCCCTGGGCATTGCCAGGTGTTTAGCAGACGATGAAAACGATGGATGCTTTTGTCTTGCCCTGAAGGTATTTCCACTTCAATGATGGCGAGTGCCGTGCATTGAAGGCCACCATGCAAGACATGGAAGGTTCCTTGGATTGAACAAGAGGATTTGGTCAATGAGGTGGGACGATTTTGAGCTTCAAAGTGGTCTGTCAAGGTATCAGAGACAAAAGAAAACTCCACTATTCAAAGGCTGTCACACGGATGCTGAGGCAAAAAGGCTGGCCGAGTGCGGCTCTCCACCTTCTATAAGAAGTCCCTCTACAGCCACTGGCGATTTACGGAGAAGGCACCTAACGAGCGGAGGAACAGATCTGATGAAAGCAACTCTAATTCTAATTCTTGTTACTACTAGCTTCTTGTTACTACTAGTAAGGCACTTGTTCCTAGAAGCGATGCACTTGTTCCTAGTAGCTATTTTCTTATTTTTCCATCTCCCTCTCTCTCTCTCTCCCTCTCCCTCTCTTCAGAGCAGGTTGGGAAGGTTGCAAAGGTCCCAAAAGAGACCTGCAAACCGACTGCTGTTCACTGTCCACTGAAACGAGGCAGACTATTTGCGGAAGCTGGGCGCTCTTGATGACTCTGATCCTCAGCAACCCCAGGTCATCATGGCGAACTATATGATGGTGCTGTTCTTGGAACTGTTCGAGATGTCCATTCGAGACTGTGGATCCCCTGAAATCACGTGTTTGAAGAAGACATGTGTTGAACAAAGCTCTTGAAACTTCCATTGGTCTTTCAAGGGCGTACTATGTAGGTGACATATCTTTAATGATCCTTAATAGTCAAAATATCACGCACTGTGGTAACCCCTAACTTGCCATGTCATAAGGGTTCATGTACAGTGTTTTCGGTCGTCGGTCGACAAGTCATTGTTTCACACCGACGCCCATCATGGCTCAAGAAACGATTGCGCCCGCGGTCGTTTCAGCGCTCGCGCACGTCGCTTCGTTCGGTCGCGCCGTGCCACTTTCGCATTCGTTGCTTTCGGGTTTGTGTTGTAGGTGGCCGTAGGAGCTCCTTCCCCAAACCCGCACTCCTGCACACCACGGGTTCCAATCCTTCGGGTGTTCCCCGCCGTGTGCCTTCTAGGACCAGGGTCCTCCACACCATCGGATATCTTTCATCCACCCTTCCCCTAAATAGGTTGTGGTGGTTGTTTACTGATATTCCGGAACCCTTGTCCCTTTCATTGGTTATCAGCCGTAGGTCTAACCAACCTACGAGCTCTAATAGTCCGCCTCTTTTAGACCCAATGCCGAGGGTTACGCCACCTAGGTCACCCCGTCCCGAGTCAGCGCAAGCCGCTGCCTCCGGCGCGGATTCGCTAGGACTAAGTAGTGACCCTGACCCTAACCTAAGGTCCCCGCCAGCAGCCGCAACGCAAGCCGCTGCTCCAAGCGCGGATTCGTTAGGAGTTGGCACGGGTGAGGCAGAGGTTGAGGTGACGTCCTTGTCAGAACTCGGTTCACTAGCCATCGATGCTTTGAACTTGTTCATCGACAACCAAGACCCACCAGCCGCTGCCGCAGGCGCGGGTTCGGACAGCTCGAAGTGGGCAGGAGCAGCCTCGGAGGCTGATTCAGGCCCAACTCTCTTTCCACCTTCCGTGATTGAGCACGAAGATAGAGACCTCGAGCTTGAAGAGCCCTTCGCCGGTCCGACGGGTCTAGAATACCCAGGCGACACTGAGATCCACCCTCTCGATAGCCCCACGGCCGAAGGCCATCCGGCCCCCGTGGATGAGCATTCGTTAGGCAATACCCAAGACATGCAACCCTCCCCTGATCAAGACCATCCGGTCCCGGAGGAGGCAACTTCGGCCAGTGCGGACGCCCCTAATCCGACAGACCAAGGCGATCTCGCCCCTGCGGAGGAGGAGCCTGAAGAGTTCGCGCCGCCCGAAACCCTAATTGCCCAGGCATCATCTACACCTAATAGTCCTCCCCTATCCACTAATAACCTGTTTGATCCACTTGGTGAAGACGAGGAGTCCTCCGCCGAGGACGTTGTGGAAGAGGGGATTGCGCAACGCATCCAAGAACAGTACGACTTGGAGGCAGCGCTGGAGGAGTCAGCCCGGATCGCAGGCGTTGAGCCGGAACCGGCTGATTTGGGTGTCGGTGAAGCCGCTGCCACTGGCGCGGGAAAGGGGGAGAGAGACCGCACCCGCAGGAGGGGATGCCGTGCCGGCGCCAAACACGTCGCGGGCCGTGAAAACCTCTCCTATGGGCAGACGTGTGAATACATCCGTGCACAGCTCGGTGATTCCACTTATGCGCGGTTCGGCCGCCGCTTCAATCTCCCTCACATTCCCCCGCAAGTGGCCCGCAAGCAGTACCCAGAGTGGTTCGGATATGTTCTTCGACACTCTGAGAGGTGGGCGTCTGATGCAGAGGGAGAGCTTTTGCCAGTGGACACCATCACTCGATGGGCGACCATCCTGCCAGAACTGTGGCAGTTCCTCTATTCGATCGACTCCACTTTGCTGCAAGGTATTCCACAGCCGAAATACAGACTACTGCCCTCTTCGTCCACCATTCATGTTAGTGCTAATGCTGACCTATATGAACTAGATGCCGAAGACTCAGATAACTCTGACCCTGAGGCTCGCTCACGTCGCATCCGCAATCTTGAAGGTAGGACTGAAGACGCCGGTTGGCTCACATGGTTGGAGGGCCATCGTCCTAAGACCAGTCAGCCAAGTCACCCAAAGCCGAAGTTGGCCGAGCCAGCATCTAAGCGTGTTCGAGTAGTTCTAACACCAGATGCACTAAAGAGGGCGCCACCCATAACGCCCCCACATGTTCGACAAGTAATAATAGTCCCTAAGAATAAACCAAAGGGTGCCTCAGTAGCTGCCGGTCCTAGGGTCCCATTGCATGAACCTCAGTTGTCAACAGCCACTGAGACAGTGTTCGTGCCATCCCATCCGCCTCAGCCGCCGCCTCAGGCGCGGGAGGCAGCACAAGCCAGCGCTACACCAATTGCGCCCCCGGTGTCTCAACCGCCTGTCGCCAAAGCGTCCGGGCCCCAGAGCACGCCACCTCCGGTGGTATCGATCGAGTCATCGTCGGCATCTCCGCCACCGGCGAGACCGCCGTCGAAAGCACGCCCGGTCCGCTCAAGGTCTCCTCCTACCAAGGTCAAACCACCCCCGCCGGAGGCGAGGCAATTGTCTGCCGAAGCCAAGCGGCGAGCGTTCGAAGCCTTTGAGGAGCGCAACAGACCCGTGCATGTCGAGACAGACAGCGCAGGCAAGCCGCTGCCAGCTGGTGCTCGTGTACCAGTAGGCGCGGGCATCACGGCTGCAGCCCCGTCCGATCCAACCCCACCTGGGGGCGGTGACGACGACCAAGGCGAGCCATCGACACCGAGAACCCCTAAGACACCCCCAAAGCCCAGATCGCCTGATCGACCTCCTAGCCAGCATGCCACATCGGGGCTTCCCTACAAGACCCCGCCAGGCTCGTTGACCGGAAGATCAGCCTCGTGGGAACGGGACCCAAGACGGCAACCAGAGCCGGCTCCTCCTAGGCCTGTAACACCGAAGAGGAAGCCCCCTCCACCTAATCCTTATCCATATCCGTATGGTAAGCCTGCAGGTGTGCCGTCAGTTCCCCATGACACGACATGGGCTTCGCAAGCTGCCTCATCGACAGCTGCACCTAACGTCTTGGACAATTCGTGGTGGGTACCAAAGGCTGCTGCACGCGCCGATAGTCACGAGGAGCCGCCATCTGGTGGAAGGCTTGCCCCACACAGGCCACCCTCCGGCAGCCCTGCCTCAGACACGCCTCGAAGCGTCCATCCTACCACAAGATACCAACCGAACCCGTTGCCCCGGTTGTTTGGGCAACAGTTGGCAAACCCGCATACCCTAGTCCCTCCTCAAGCGGGCGTCTTTGAAGTTGGCCTCGACTGGCATAAGGTACTAGATACCATGCTGTCTCCGGTGCGTACACCAACCAACATCCTCACAGACCGCCTTAAACAGCTTGAATCGCTTCCTGCTCGAATAACAACCATCTCCTTCACGGGCGCGGGAGACCGCTACGACTCGACCATCCAGGAGATAGATTCGTTTCGAGACCAATGCCGCGCGTCCGGCTGCCAGATGGGTGGCGGCTTTTACCTTACGAATGAGAAGACGGGACGCGGAGGAAAAGCCGAGCTCGTGAGCCGGCTCAGGATCCGAGCGTTTATGGATGATCGAGCTGACATCCTTGCAGAGATCCGACGCACTGGTTGCTTCGCGATGGGCTACCAAGCCAGGGACTACCCTACGGAACCTAGTGGAGCCATACAGGTGTTAACCGACTATATTTGGTCGCACCTTGCCCACTGGGATGCACATCATCCCCTGCAAGCCTTCGTATTGCAACAATACTCAGGCCAGGGCGGGCGCGGCAGTGGACGCCGCCGCCGATGAGTGCACATGCTAGCCGCTGCTCTACGCGCGGGCCCTTTCGTTGTTCGTTAGGGTAGGCATGTTCCAGGGTGCATTCATGGGTATGTGGTCATGCATCAACTAATCATACCATAACTTTCAACTCAGCTGTTGTTGTTTTGGTTTCATCCCAATGCACTCATGCCGCTGCCCCATGGCGCGGAAGTCCTGCCGCTGAAAGCGCGGGCCTGGGCAAAGACCCTTTCGTTTCGTGCATGCAAAAGTTTGCTGGCACGCCTGGGAAGGATGGCGAACCACACAGGTATCACACCTCCTTCGGACCCTTCCTCCGCCGGTCGCTCTCGTTCGTCACCTGAGTTCGAAACGGCCCCAAGCAGAGGTAGGGTCCCGGCCGCATCGGTCACCGTCACCACCAGAACCCGGGGTACGCGACAGAATCGCGTCGAGCCCCGCCCTGGTCCCAGGACAATGGCGGAAGAGTCGCCTTCATCGGAGGAGCCCAGGCGGCATCGTGGCGTGAGTGCACGGGGCAGGGAGCTGTTGGACAGGGGGGCACCTAGTAGTTCTAGTCAACGACCGGTACCCTTCATATCACTAGCCTCTGTTCCTAAGCCGTCCCAACCTTACATACATAATCCTATAGACCCCAATATGCCGGCAGCTGCTTTTGTAGCCGGAGCAGCAATACAAGAGGCTAACCAAGCGGCACACATAGCCCATCATGCTGCATCGATGGCTGAACAGCAAGCCCTCGAAGCAATGAGAGCTAGACATTTAGCGGCCCAAGCCGAAGAACATGCGACACAGGTCCAGTCCCAGGCTCAGTTCGTTGTCCATGAGACTCGCCAACAGGCTGAGAACATGGTAGGACAGGCTAAGGCTCAAGCTGAGGCTATGGTCGGTCATGTTAGGGCACAAGCCGAACAGTATGTTCAGTCCCAACAGCATGAACATGTTCAGCGCCAACGTCAACTTGAGCAACAAGCTCATCAGTGGGCGTCCGGTGTAGAAGCCGCATATCGTGCCCATGTGGACCAAGTAAACACAAACGCGACTGCCGAACTCATTGAACTGCAGAGGCAGAACGCGTACCTCACCCAGCAACTCGCCGCCAGATCACCGGTACCAAGCTCCCCAAAGGAGCCACCGATCTCACCGGCGCCCTCAACACAACCCCTTCACAGTGTCCGTTCGACATTGAGCCACCAAGTGGAA